CACAGCAGTCTCATCCTGTCTGGGATTTGTACAGAGACTCCTGGCCAGCGATAAATGTTAAAGGTAGGCCTTGGGAAGTGTTAGGTCTTGTGTTTGCTAGATCATGGGAAACTGCACCTGTGTAGTCAGTATATGATGAATGATATAATTGTTGATGTGATTAGATATAATTATAGTTTGAAGAATCATGAGAAACTATGTTAGAGGTTTGAGGGGATCATGATCAATCCATGCTTGGGTGAAATCAATGTATACAATAGAACAATGTAAGTTTAATAATTAATATGTACATTATATAATGATAAAATATAAAAACACATTTGGTTCGAAACCATGTGAGGTGACCATGATTTGGGTCTGTACCCCTGTCAGATTTGGGTCTGTACCCCTGACACCCAGAGCTCTTTAATAAAAGCACCTGCACATAATAATTCTCTGATTGTGTGTTTCTGAACACTGACACAGGTACTGACCAGATCAATCAACATCCTCAGGATCTCGTGGGCACTGTCCAGCTCCTCCACCCTCCTGCAGTCCCCTTCTGACGAGAGCAGGCTGGACAGCTTCCGCCCCAGGTTGGTCTTGCTGCCCTCCAACTTGACGTGCTCTGTGGAAAACACAGGTGTGTCAGCTGCAGAAGTGCTCAGGTAGGGAAAAACAACTCTGGGATAAAGCACTTGTAAACCTGGAAGCCATAGAAAATAATGTAATAATTAAAAATAATTTAATTTAACGATCCTATAAAAAAGGGCAATACAAGCTGCAGCTTCCTCCACTGCATGGGACACGGCAGGTTCCCACTGCTCCTGCTGTGCCACAAAGGCTACACAGACCTTAAACGTGGGCACATTGAGAATTCTTTGTGCTCTTTGGAAAATACACTTTTGATGCTCTAGTAAAAGAATAATTCATGGTAGTTTGTTTTTAAACCATAAGTAGCCTAAATAATAGATTCTCTGACACAGGCCACAAACTTACAAGTTTGTGATAATTCCAGAAATAGTAAAATACCTTAAAATTAAGGAACAGATATGCCAGCTAACAGAGCCTGAAAGCAATGGTATCAGTGTAGGGGAAACAGCTACTCAAGGTTATGCTGCTGTAGTGCTACACCCCAGGAAAGCCCAAGGGATCTGGGAGACACACCACACTTCCAAGCCTGGCACCTCCTGGCCAACAGTCAAAACAAATATATTGTGCTGTTCCTAAAGTCTGCAGTGGTTCTGACTGTGATGTAAGCACTTAAATACTTCTCTTATTCTTTAAAAAAAAAAAAAAAAAAAAAAAAAGGATAAAAAGATTATTGGAATTATTCCTACTTTACAGATTGGAATTCTTCCTCTTTTACACAGGGCTTTGTAACTCTGCATTAGTGTAAGAACACTGATATTGATACAGATGCATAATAAAAGGCAAAAAATGTTTAAGGAAAAATAGAAAAAAAATCTATGTAGAACTCTAGTGAATTATGGAGTGGAATAGGTTAGAAGAGACCTTGAAGCTCATCTTGTTCCACACCTTCCACTAGACCAGGTTGCTCAATACCCCATTTGGAGCTAAAAAAAGCTCCAAATATACTTTTCTGGGTTTTTTTGCATTTCTCCCCCTTCCCCAACTCTTCCATGGAGCTAACTTGAAACAAAACCCCAACACGAGAGCAGTTGCTGGCAGCACACAAACCAGCCAGATGTCACTTTCCTCAGGGGCAGTGCCCAAGCCCTGCCCTTCCCACACACAGACAGACACACAGACACACTGCCCAGCTACCAGCACCCCGCAGGCGTCTCCAGCCTGCAAATCTGCTCTCCTTCTTCACACTGATCACTTCTGCCAGCCTCAGGGCCTGCTCCTGCCTCTGCATCAGCTGCTGCTCAAACGCGATCCTGAAGGCATCTGCCATGATGTACGCTTCATCCTTACTCTTCTTCAGGCTTTCCATCTGGTTTTAGTTCAGGGGAAATTTAAAGCATGTTAGATAATTTGGAAGCAAAAGCAGGTTTAAAATTAAGGCACAGACAGCTTGCAAGTAAATATAATCAAGGAAGTAGCAAGGAACCAAAGGGTTTTCCTGACACGTAAAGAAATGTATTTTGAAATGTGTATTAAAGTCCTTGTTCTTCATTGTCTGCAAATATTCACATCCCCAGCCACCTACACAATCATCTCTGCGTATTTATTTATCTCTGCACATGTACAAGAGCTCGAGGAAGAAAATAATAACCCATCACATCCAGGCCAAGAGAAAAAGGAGCAGGAGATTGGAACCTATATCAGGGATCTTAAGGGACAGGCCAGAACCTATTTGCAAAACCAGTTAGCCAACTGGAAGTTCTGCAGCAGGACCACAAGGATGGCTACCGCATTTCCAGAGTCAAATACAAAATAGAAGAAAAATTTTAAATCCACACAATTTCAATAAATAGAAAAAAGTTAGGAGCCTGGAATTCACGTAATTGATTTAAGTGTGAGGTAAACAGGTTTTTTCCAGCAAGATCAGCTTGCTGCCCTAGGTGAGTGAGCAGGCTGTGGGAGCTGATGCCAACATGGGAGGAGTGAAATGCACTGCCAGGAAGGAAGGGAAAGGTTCAGTGCCAGTCCACATGCACAGTGTGTACATTCATGGAGGGCACACACTTAGGGTGTGTTCCCTTTTTTCAAATTAAAAAAATACGGGGAGAAAGAAAAAGAATGAAAAATCATTTTTTTCTTAATTAGTAAAACTGAGTAGATACAATTAAAATCTTTTCTACCAGGATAAATTATGAAATTACAGGCATCACAAACTTTACAGTATTTTGAGATCCATTGTGGTTGTGAGAGTTTGTGTCAACAGCGCCTGGGTGTCTCTGGCTTTGTTTGGACTGGTGCAGGAGCACCCCCTGCTCGTCCCCACCCCTGCCAGGCCTCCTCACCTCCTGCTTGAGATGGAGGAGCTGCTTCCGAGTGAGAGCTGCCACTCTGGCACAGGGNCTGCTTGAGATGGAGGAGCTGCTTCCGAGTGAGAGCTGCCACTCTGGCACAGGGGCAGGGCTGCCCCTCGGCCGGGCTGCAGGCGCAGGCTCCCAGCACTGCCAGCTGCAACACAGAGCAAGCCAGAGGTCACAGAGCTGCCACAACCGCCCATCGCTGCTTCTTAAAATGCTACAAGTCTGATAGTAATAAAATGGTTAGAAAAATAGCAATATAATTAGAGTAGTAATAATTTTGGACAGTTTGGATTAGGACAATATGAGATAACAGAAACAAAGAGTTACGTATGGTCTGGGTGCCTCTTTCTGGGCTAAATAAGCCCAAAAAAAGGCCCCCTTTGACCGGGGGTTTACCCTTTAAAGGCACGGGCTTTTTGTTTTTTCTTCCCCTTCTTCATGATGCATAAATTCCATTCAAACACAGGATTCTGTCTGGGCAGTGTCAGCTTCTTCCTCTGAATCCTGATTAAGGATGGCTGAGCAAGGCAGGAAGAAGTTCATTTCTCCTGATAATGGGGCAATAAATTCCGTTTTTCTGAAAGATTCAGGTGTCCTGTGGCTGCTATCTGGTGTGAGTCCTTTCTTTACAAAAAGTATCCTACACAGCATAGTTTCCATTTTAACATCATGTTACAACCTAAAACTCACACAATATGAAAAACGCATATTTTATGATTGGCTTTTCGTAAATATTCAAATTAATATTGTATGTGTTGTGTTAGGAAGCTATGCTGTCTTAATTTTCTTAAATAGTGTGTTAAATATAGTTTTAGGTTGTAACATGATGTTAAAATAGAAACTATGCTATGTAGGATATTTTTTTAGAGAAAGGACTTGCAGTGAGACAGCAGCCACAGGACACCTGAATCTTTCAGAGAAAGGGAATTTATTGCTCCATTATCAGGGAAAACGAACTTCCCGCCTTGCTCAGCCCTGGAGACACCGTCAGGATTCAGAGGAAGAAGCTGACAGTGCCCAGACAGAATCCTGTGTTTGAATGGAATTTATGCATCATGGATGAGGTGTATGAATATGCAACAGGCTGTTGTTTTAAGGGTTAATCCTCTGTTCATGTGGGGCCTTTTTTGGGCTTATTTTGCCCAGAAAGAGGTACCCAGGCATCCGTAAATCTTTGTTTCTATTGTCTCATATTGTCCTAATCCTAACTGTCCAAATTATTATTACTCTAATTATATTGCTGTTTTTATAACCATTATATTGCTATTTCTCAAACCATTTTATTACTATTAAAATTTTAAAAATTTAAAAACAAGTGATTGGCATTTTTCACACACAAACATCTCTCTGAAGCAGCTCTTTGGAAAAACACACAGGCAATACTTACTTCAAGACCTGTGAAATCAGTGATGTCACTTTTGTTCAACATGTTCTCCTGAAAAACTTTCTGTTGTTTCACATCTAGCATTGCAAGAAATTCCAAGCACTGCTGGTTCAGGACTACAAAATGAAACAAAGAAAGAGATTACAAATATCCCCTGCTCCAACTTCTTAATTTCTGAGTTCAACTACACCCGAATGAAGCAGCTTTACAGCTCAAGCATCAGTTTGGGAACAAGATGAGAGCGTAGAAGGAGAAACTCATCTCCCAGTTGTTTGTGCTTGTGTGTTCTCCCAGAAGTGATGGCCCACTTACAGAGAGAGCATTTCCTGTATTGCTCTGCCTCAGGACTGAGTGCCTGTCTCCTCATACTCTCAAAAGTCAGGCAGCCTCCCATTCAGAACAGCACAACACTGGGCAAGGGATGATTTAACTCAGCTATTTCAAAGCTTTTTGGAAGGCAAAAATGACGGAAAGGGAGTTGGGTCTTCTAATTCGGTGGCTGCCCTGGCTGCTTTCCAGTTTAATTTCCAGGCTTCTGCATACCCACTAAGATCAGCTGCCACAACAAGACACTGATCCCCACAGGAATCTTCCATCAGACCTAAAACCTGATTTATTCCTAAAAAACAGTGTATCCAGAGGAATAGCTGCTGCTAGCTTACTTGCATTTTCAGCCTTAAGTGTTTTAATTTCTTCTGTCCTCACTTTCAATGCTTCCTTAAGAGCTGCATTTTCACAGTATATCCTGTAGAAGTCAGAAAATGGCTTCATTATAATCTTAAAAACATTTTTGAGTGGGCACTCAATAATTTAAAAAATAACCTGTTAAAACATGGTATCTAATATTTCTGAAAATTAAAATTAGGATTACTTGAAAGACAGAATAAAAAAAATCAAAAGTGAAAGGAGTTGAGTGCTAGATACAAATTTTAAAAACTCCCAAACCTTCATGTGTAAGTAGGCAGTGCCCATAGCTTTAACAAGAGATTAGTTTAAGTGTCACATTTCCATTAGAAAAGCAAAGAAATTGGTAATTATGAACCTCTGAAACACTTGCTAGAAATTTCCTATTTCCTTGAAGGAACAAAAGTGATATTTGAGGAGCGACAGCTCTGGTCTGTAAACTTCCTGTGGTCTGAATCCTGTTTTCAGGAACAGCTGTGCCTTCAGGTGTTTCAACGTGAGAACACACAATGCACACTGATAATGCATTTTTCCTTGCAGCATTTCCCTCCTGAGCAGAACACTGGCAATCTGACATCCTAAATGTCAAAGCAATACAATTTATTTGGTGCACCTCAGCTCTCAGTAAATGCAGCCTACTCTGAATCATTTCACTTGGGAAAAAAAACAAAGGAAAATGCTCATTCTTTTTGTCCGGCTGCCTCAGATGTCAGAAAACTATCAGAAAAAGATGAGATCCTGTGTCTGTGTCTTCCACCAGCCAACACCAGTTGTGTGGCTCCAAACTGCACGGCCACATTTCCAACCTACTCAGACAGGAAAGCCAGGGAGCCTTTCAAGAGGCAGCCCTTGACAAACGTGTCTCTGGAATGGTTTGTAAACTCGTAGCTTATCCTTTGATTTGAAGCTGAAATATATTTAAGTGAAAGTATATTCTGAATTGTAAAAACAACAGCAATAATAATAACAAATAATGACAACAACTCTCATGGGTAGACTTCAGAGATACAATTTCTACATGTAAATGAGTGAGCCTGCTGGTCCCATTTCTCAAGGTCGGTTGTGTATAATTAGTTTAGTGCCTCTGGCACATTCCTCTTGCCCAGCCACACCTGCTGTCCACCCAGAGTGACTCCTGTTTAACAAAGAATCTCTTGATCAGCCTCTCTCTCAGGCATTGTATTTTACCTGTACTCATGCCCAGACCTACAGTGCCAGACAATAAAGAAATGATTAACCAGGAAATTTTATTTCCACGCGTATGAACATACCATTATTTTCTCTGCCTCATCTATGGTTAGGGTAAATAAGAATAATCAGTCCCCAGCTGGCTAACATCATATGATAAAAAAACAACTCAGCCTAGCAAAGCCAGCCTACAGACACCTAAAAATAAAAGTAATCAGGACAATATATCTAGAAGTTTTAATTGAAAAATACAAATGTGACTGGTGTGAAAAATCAAAATGCTCCAGAATTTGGAAGGGAATTGGGAAAACACGATGAACCTGAGGAAGCAAGTTTGGAACACAGAACAGAAGACATAGAGCACTCAGTGCAATTTTAAAAATCAATCAAAAACCCCAGTGATACACAGTGTAAGCCCACTGATATATGATATATATATATATGATATATATATATATATATATATATGATACCTGTCATATTTTTCCGCCCAGGTGTCTTCTATGTTTTTAAATCTGTCCTGATCAAATTCAATTTCCCATTGCAAAATATTTATTTCCTGTGGAAACAAAACAGACTTGTAGCAGCTCATCACAGGGTTCCCCCCAGAAGGATGCCAGGAGTGCTGGGTTTGGCAGAAATCTTAGAGACAATCTGAGACCAAATAACAGATAACAAGATAAATTAATATTTCCCTTTCTACTGAGAAGGAGCAGGAATTCCTTTTATAAAACCCCTGGAATTAATGTCAGGTATGCACTGATTTAAACAGTCAGTCTGATAACCCCTTTTCAATAGCCATGGGCTTCTCTGTGTGAAGGAAAAACCCACACTTACCTTCTCTAGAGTCCTCTTTTCTTCCTCAGTTTTCTGAAGCATTGCTTTTGTATGGCTCGTGGCTTTATCAAATACTGCCTGCAAAATCAACAAACAACCAAAGCAGAGCCCAAAATGCAACTCTGTCAAACACTGTGATTAAACTGAGTTAATTTTCAGTTTCATACTCATAGTCAAACAGCAGAGTGCAGAGTCACAAACACCAGCAGCCTCCTCGCGAGCCTCAGAGGGTTCTGATCTCAAGTCTAACTGGCACAACAAACTTTTTGGGTTTCATTCCCAGAACCTCTGGAGCATCATTCAGCTTGAGATTGTGTCTTCTCCAGGGCTTGTGCAGGAAATTACACCTTGAACAACTGGGTTACAACACACCTAAGCTCTGATCCAGGCCTAAGTGGCTACAAATATGTGATGCTAGAAACCACACAACTAGAAATGGCTTTTGTAAGTAGGCTAAATTCCAGGAACTGGATTCAGCAGCATTTGTTATCAAAGAGAATAAAAATACTACAAATGGTGAACAAAAGAACGACCTGACATTTAAGGCACACTGTCCCCTAGGGCAGCAGATGGAGCAGCCAACTCGAAATACTCATGCTTTGCAGCAGGATTCCAAGCACTGCCTAAATCTTCAACATAAGGGACTGCAAAAAGGCCTTAATTTTATCTTTAGTAGATAAATCCTCAAGGATTGTCAAAGCTAAAATTTTAAGAATTGCTACAACACTAAAGTCTTATTAAATAACACACTAGTTGCAGTAAATTGTAGAGGCAAGTCTGTAGACACCTGCAGACTCAATGATGTAAATTGCAGCCCTGGGAAGGCCTTAAGGTTTTTGAGGTTTTGATGAGGAGCAGCAGCAGATTTCCTCTGTTTTTCCTTGTTACCACCAAGAGATTTCTGAACAGCTCCTACCATGCTCTGCAGGATTCTTAGGGCTTCATCTTTCCCTTCAAGCTGTCTTTGAGAAGCTTCAAGCTCAACTTTCAGAATTTCAAGTTCCTGAGGTAAAGCAAAGTAGACACGCTGAGTAAAAGCCAAGGTAATCTTGATAAGATTCAGCTGAAACCAATGTAAATTTCCCCTCCTCAGAAAACAAACCTCTGTTTTACCTGCATGATGTTGTTCCACGGGCTCACCTGAGGTCACAGAACACAGTGCAGGTGGAATGTGGTTTTTTACAGCTGAAGTCAGCTGGCTGTGATGCCAACACCTCAACACATTTAACCACAGTAAAATCCAAATGTGCTGTTAACAACCTTTCAAGCAACATGCAGACTAAAAATCCAAAGATTGTTTGCACTGTACATTTTCAAGCCCCAAAGCTTAATAAAACATAAACATCTGTGAGAAAAGTACAACAGTACCTTCAATATTCTCTCCATCTTTAAAAATATTTTGTAGACAAACCTCCCAGAATATAAAGTACACCTCACACTACAATTTCCTGACATAAAAATTAAAGAAGCTTCCAACTCCTGCTGTAATTCCAATAACCTGGGCACATCCAACTCTCCCAGCATGCCCAGATTCTCTGGTTACATGGAAGGGAAATGAAGATTTGGAGAGCAGCACCCTGGGCACTCTTACCAACCTCCAGAGCTTCCCGGAGTTGCTGCTTCAGTTCTTCATTTGACACTTCAGTATTAGATTCTGTAAGACCAATGGAACATAATAAATGATAAAATATTGTAACATTTAAAGCAAAAAAAGGTTGGGATTTTACCCTGAAAACGGGTAACATACAAAGGTGAGTTTTCATCTTTGTGTTGAGGGTTTCTCTTTTTCTTGTGGAGGCAATAAACAGATTTAAGAAACACACCAATACAAGCTTCAAACACATTGCTTCACAGTTGAAGAAGTGAAATGGGGGAAAAAAGTCTGCTGTAAAGAGTCATAAAGGCAAACCTCTTATAACTTCCTTTAAAATAAAGCCAACAAAATTGTCATAATGATGAAAAAAAATTATTTGGATTCTTTTCTGACTGTAACTTGTCAACACAGCCAGCACTATTTAGAAGTAGGGGCAATTTTCAGGAGGCAGAGACAGCTTACTGTGGAAAGGGTGACAGGGAATTGTTTAGAGGAGAGAAATAAGTAAGTTACACAGAAATACCTCAGTCAAAATATTAAAGATTGACAGAAAAGCAGCCAGACTGTAATCAACAGCACTGTCTACATTTGATTGTTTTTACAGCAGCATTGCCTTCACAAAAAAAGGAAGATGAATGCCAACGCAGGTTCTAAAAGCTACTTCCTAACCCCTAACGTAAGCCAATTCACTAATTTCAACTGAAGAGCAAAAAAGATTTTTAATATTTAGCCATAAACTTTAGGAACTCTCTTTAGGAAGATTTTAACTGACTTAAAGCAGGAATCCAAGCAGTGCCACCCAGTTTCACAGACACAGCCAAACCCATGCCGGCACACTCACCACAGGATGCTCTCTGATAAATGTCGCTTTCAAATGCAGAGTTAAACACCTTAAAACTGGACATTTTACACTAAGAATGGCCACTGCCTTCAGCACCGAGAAGCAATTGTACTGCTCGTGTTCTGGGAGGATCCCAGTCCTTGAGGGATTTTGGCAAGCGGTTCCAATTAAACTTGAGGACACTTTGTGAGGCAGCTGAACGGCTCACTTCCACTAACAAAAACCTTTCGTATGGTGAATAATTAACTTCTAAATTGCTCTTACCACAGCTATTCTGCCGTGTGGAACTAGAGGCAGGTTTTTTGAGCGATCCATCGTAAAAGCTGTTCCGTTTTGGAGCAGGAACAGCTGCAGCATCACTTTCTTCCGCTACCTTTGCTGACAAGGGGGGATTACAAGTCTTTCCAGACCCTTTCCTAGATGTAACTGAATAGGAATTTTGTAAGTTTTCCCCTTCATAAACACCACCCGGTCTTCTTCCCAGTCCGTTTCCCAAGTCTCCACATGTCATGTCATCCTCTTCTGCTTCCTCCATCTTCTCCTCCTGGCTTTTTTTCAGGTTTTCCGCCGGTTTGGGGTTTTTTTTTCCCGACCGAGGGCCCGTCACCTACCGGCGAACAGCGCCTCCCGCAAAGGCCAGATTTCATCTGGAAAAACAGGAAAGCTCCGCGTTCACAGCAGCAGGGAGGGAAACGCGAGGCTGCGGGGCAGCTGAAATCCCGCGGGGAGACCCCGGCCCGGGGGACACACCTGGGGGACATTGCGAGGGGAC